TTACTTTTATTTATTTTTAATGTAATTATAGTTGTTGGGGATTTTTTTTGTTAAAACTAAACTATACTATAACGGCCAAGCCAAGTCGCTAAAGTAACTTAAGAGAAAAATGATTTTAATTTTTTAAATTTTATATGAAAATTGATAGAAAATAAAAACTAATTTTCCATTTAAATTCCTGGAGGAACCGGCTGTAAAATTTAGATTAACTGATAGTAAAATAAATAATGTGAAATAAAATAAAACAAATGAAAAAAGAATAAAGTAAAATAAAACATACAAATCAAATAACATTTAGAAAAGTAAAATAATTAATAAAACCAAAAAAAAAAAATGGCAATCGCTAGAACTGGGGATCGGAGCTGGTCCCTACGGACTTGTAGTACGCAGCTCTCACTACTCGGCTTTTTCGGAAATTTTGACAGACAATTCAGTAGAAGTATAGAGACTTTCGAGGTTCAGGATAATCATTTGGTACTTTCTTCACATGCTAATAAAAGTATTTTTGTTCTTTTTACGCAGTGGGAGCAAACCTTATTTTCGATGATTGAACAAAGTGGCTCAATTGCTGTGGATACATTTTTCTTTCTCAGTGGATTGCTCGTAATTATGGTGGCTTTTAGGGAGTTGGCGAAGTATGGCGAGTTTATTTTTATTTTTATAAAATAATCTGTTTCAATTTTTATTGTTTTTTTTAGAAACACTGGTAAACTTAATGTACCAATGATGTACATTCATCGTTATTTGCGCCTAACACCGGTTCTAGCAGTGGCCATTTTGTTTTACATGTCATTATTTAATTATATTGGCAATGGACCCATTTGGAAGAGCTTTACGGTTGCTAATAAAATTTGTGATAAAACTTGGTGGGAAACATTATTTTATGTGCAAAATTATGCAGCTGCTGGCGAAATGGTGAGTAGCTTTTAAAATGACCATAACATAATAATAAAGAAATGAATATCTATATTATTATGAATAAATAAATGAATAAATAAATAATCTATTCCAGTTTAATTTTCCCTAATTGAACAGTAATTAATTAATATGTGTACATACATAAGTGCTCATGGAAAGGTTCTCTTATATAGCTTCCATGAAACTATTTTGTGATTCGGGATCTGGAAGGCGTTGAAACATCTTTGAAAATCGAATTTTTAACTTAAAAGTTTATGGTAGGAAACGTTTTTTCGAAAAAAATGTTTTTATGTAGGATTGAAACAATTTTTTCTTTCGTCATTCACGACGAAACGTCCTAGGGCTGATCGACTTCGCCGCAGCCCGAAGCATGAGAAACGAAGTCGATCATTTTGTGAGAGACGAAAGATCGACCAAACATCGGCTCGTCTCCCTTGCGCTCAGCAAGCACTACTCTCCAACAAACCGGCATATGGCAGCAATGGCACCACATTTACTGCTTATTACGTACCGTCCCCAAAGAAGTAGTGCGATTTCATAAAAACTGGTAGTTGAGGAATATCGTGTAGCTGCAGAATAGAAAATTACATATAAAGGCACGCCGAGATCGGGTGCAACGTGGGCTACTATGTGGGATCGATGTAGAAAGCTGAAGAGGGAAAGGCCTAAATACATATGTGACTGCAAAGAGCATGAAACTCCAAAATTTAATCAGAAAATTAGCCAACTTAGGGAAGATTTTAAACACAGGGCGTACTTCTCTAAAAACAACCACAGGGTTGCCACCTGTCAACCCATTCAAGTTATTTAATAAGTTAAATAAATTATTAAAATATGGGTATCAATAGTAGGAAGTTTGAAAAATTATTTGAAATATCAACACTCGGGTGTCAAGCGGAATAGTGCGAAGAAAACTTTATTTTGAACATTTAGAATCTTTAAAAGGCTTGCAACGTGTTTGTAAAGTGACATTCAAATTATTTTATAATTTGGATTAATAATTAAAAAATGTGTATTATCGAAACGAGTTTCAAAAGGCGTGATTTCTGAAATATATAAAGGAGGGTTGCCATCAGTTTAAAAAATCCAACTCAGCTTAAATTAAGGCAATTACCAAATTGAAGTATGTATCAAAATTTGGGTGCCAGACAAAAGAGATTGAAAATCTTTTGAAAAGGGTTGGTACCTGTTGGAAATGTCGAATTAACTAATACACAGGATATATGAAATATTAAAATATTGGTGCAAACAAAAGAGTGTTAAGAAATCTAGAGTTTGAACATAAGAAATATTTTTTAGGTGTTTGAACAAGATTACCACCTGTTTAAAATTCAAATTATTTAAAAAGTTAAATGAATTACTTAAATATAAGTGTTATTCGAAATTGGTTTGAAAAGGCTTTCAGGCAGGTTCTGCAATTCACTTCCGAGTGAATTTCAACCAAACTCGCTTCGAACTCGAATTGAGCTTTGTAGAAATTCATTCGGAAATAAATTGCAGAACCTGCCTCTTCATTTCCGAAATATGAGAGGTCAAAATAAAGGCCCTGGCCTTTATATGTGCGATAAGATTTTATTTTTTTGAAGTTAGAAACTTTTTATCGGTATAGAGTGGGTTAAAACTTGGTTATATTAAAAACCGACTATGCGAGACGTCTCTTCACTCAAAAAGGGCTACAGGGATTTAGATGAAATATGACATTCGTAACGCTTATCACTCGGGCGTTTCAACGCCGTGCGGGTTCACTAGTATATGTTTATTAGACTGTCCCAAAAACACAAAGTGCCGTGCCGACTTGCACTCAAAGTTATCAGAATTATCTTTGCGCTATTACTATACTCCCAACAGTATTAGGGCATAATAATCTGCCCTAAATAGATTGGCGCTTACACATACATTTGTATGTTAGTGTTTGGCCGAGCGTCTCCTCCGATTTGTGGTGTGCGCCTTGATGTTGTCACACAAAGCGGAGGGACCTAAAGTTTTACCCTGACTCCGAACGACGGGTGTTTTTTTATGAGAAGCTGTTTTTCATGGCAGAAATACACTCGGAAATTTGCCATTGCCAGCCGAGGGGCGACCGCTGTTAAGAAAAAACCTTTTTTCTAAATTTTTTGTTGCTTTGACCAGGGCTTGAACCCAGGCCCTGCGGTCTACTATTCACAATTAAGCGCCTATTAATCAAATATAACCGACTTGCGCCGTCATATCCCGAATGAAGATTGAAATATTTGCTTGCACACACAATGAATTATGAAAAATTACTCATACGCCCTGGCACTCGCACTTCTTTGGTTATTGCTTAATACATAAATGCACATATACTTATGTACATACATACGTATTAGGGCAGGTCAATTTGTATGAGAGATTTTTTCGACTATGCGTGTATAAGAAAAAACAGAAGGAGGAAAAAAATCTCCGCCGTTTGAAACTGGCACTTCATTAGACTAAAATTGTATGGGCTATAGAACTGCATGCCCAAATTTTTTTTAAAAATTCAGAATAAAAAGTTGAAATTTTGATGAAAATTTGTTGAGTTTTCCTAAATTTTGTATAAAGTTTGAAACTGTGATTTACACGGTTTTGGTTAAAGCTTAGACGATATTTTTATATAAAAATAACAAAAAAAATTTGGCTCGAAAAACATTGCGAATATTTGAAGAAAAGCAAAGCATGGTCGTTTGTTTGAGTCACTGTGGGTTGCGAAAATAGATTTCTTAGCATTTTGCTGTACAAAATATGCTATAAGCGGTTTTTCGGTAAGAAGAATCCATTTCTGCACTTATGTTTTTCTCAAAACTTCTACCTGAGGCCGTAAAATTGAAAATTTTCCCAATTACTTCCAAATCCATTTTCACAATTTGGCAAACCCTTTGCTTAGAATTACACGTAGAATCCTCCCATGCTATAGGCGCATTTTATAAAATTATGTCGTAAATTATCGTAAAGGATTATGAGAATCAATTTTCCCGTTTACAACCTAATATTTTTGGAAAATAACTTATTTCAATTTATTTATTTTCAGTGCCTTGGTCATGCCTGGTATTTGGCAGTGGATATGCAATTATTTTTTTTATCGCCCATATTTTTGATTGTAATCTGGAAATGGAGCAAATTTGGCATAGCTGCAACTATAACTTTCGGCTTACTGCTGGTTGCTTGTCTATTTGCAATTGTTATGATAAATCAGTACACAATTTATGACATTGCACGGTACATTAACGCAAAATTTTTGTTTAAATAAATTTTGAAATTATGTATGTATGTATGTATGCATATTGATGAATAATGTAATTTCAGAAACTATGGTGCTGCGAGTGAGGCAATGCCAAAAATTTACTATTCAACACACACCAGATGCTCGGCGTGGATAGTGGGACTAATTTTTGGTTACTACTTGCATCGCAACAATGGAAATGTTGCTAAATTACCAAACGTAAAAATATAATTATAGTGAAATTAATTTTTGTAGAACCACTTTTACTTATCCAAATATAATTCCAGTGGTTAGTCGCCGTTAGTTGGCTGATATCGCTCATCATAGTTTTCACAATCGTATTCGCTTGGTATCCAAGCACATTGCTCGGCACAAGCGGACCCACTGTACTAGAAAGTGCTTTCTATTTGGCTGTGGGACGTGTGGCATGGCCTTTGGCTTTATGTTGGATGGTATACGCTTGTATAAATGGCTATGGCGGACCAATTAACGTCTTTCTGTCGTGGTCGCTCTGGCAACCGATTTCAAAACTTTCGTACAGCATGTACATTTGGCATTTGATTGTGATTACAATTAATGCATCGCGCATCAAAACCAATACATACTTTTCGGATTATGATGTGGTAAGAGAAATTTAGATTTTGATGAAAATTTATTTTTGATGTTTAACTTGTGTGTGTTTTTTTTTAGATATTGAGCTTTTGGAGTAATTTTAGTATTACACTATTGGTATCCATTTGCGTGTATTTGGCTGTTGAAGCGCCAATTGTTGATATTGAAAGTTACTTGTTGCCACGTAAAGCGGCAATGGTCAGCAGGCAACAAACAACGCCGGCTCCAGCAGCAACAATATCACAACAAAATTTACGTGATTAATATCAGCTATACAAAGAGAAGGAACTCTGTGGCATTTTGTAAATGTTGGTACATTTTTGTAATATGTAGGTTTAATGTGTGTTAAATTTATGTATGTATCTCCTTACATACACACATATATACGAACATATGCATGTGTGATAAATTGATTGCTTTTTAAATGCATTCTGGTAATAAATAATTAAGTTATTTTCTCAAAACAAAGACCATATCAAAGGCGAGTTGAGGAAAAAAGAGAACAACTTTTGGTTTGTATCATCTAATAACAAAGCAGTGGTGGGCAAAAGCCGCATGTGGATTTTCTAAATGCTGCAAAAAGCCAAAAAAGTACAAACATAATAACATACTTACCAAAACGAAAATACCAATATTTAAGACTTTTTTAGTCGTTATTCGACTATGAATGTTAAATTTTAAGCCAAAGTTTTCTCAAGTTCTGATTACACTGTAGGGACACTAAAATGACTCAAAACAAACCATCGATACATGAATTTCATTTTGGGTCGTAGATTGCGGATCTGTATACCATTTTTTTAGAACAAGTAATTTTCCCAAGATATTTTTATTTTAAGTTTGCATTGCGAATGAGAAAATGCAAATTTTAGCATCGAAAATGTTACTCATACGCCATGTACGGCATCCTATTCCTATTTCAAACTAAAAATTACTGCAAATTTTCATTTGGACATTCACAACTTGCTTAGACGTATTTTCTGAAAGCCTACGAGACATAACTAAACGATGCTCTAACGTCAACGCAACCCAAGCTGGTTTCGGACCACTCGGATCCGTGCAACCGTGGGGAGCTGTGACGCACCTTTAAACGATGTTATACTCTACGACTACGACTTCTTTATTCCAATTCTGCAGCGTCATGCCCTTTAGAACTACTGAACAGATTAGGACGAGATTTTGCTTAATATAATCTGTATCAATAGGGGTATTATCTTTAGTACTTAGAATTTCTATAGGGTTGCCACCTGTCTAAAAAATTATAAGATCTGTTTATTGAATTACAAAAAGTGAGATGTGAAATGGAAAGCCTTGGGCTGAAGATGTTTAATAATTTATTAATTTTGGAGTAGGGTTGCCACCTTTCTAAAAGTTATAAGATTTTCACCCTTCACTGGACTCAAAACTGAGCTTCCAAGTGAAAGGACATGGCCTGCAGATATGCAGATATTTTTTTAATTTGTTTAGTGGGATTGCCACATTTATAAGAAATTATTACCTTACATTATAATACCTGCAGGCATTTTTTGTTAATGACATCAGATTTGCATAGTTCATTCAATTTAAAAAAAATTAGGTCTTCAGATGTGCTTTTGCTTTGCGGTTTTATTTTTTCGAGGAGGGTTGCCACCTGTACGAAAAATTATAAGACGTTGGAATATGAAAATTGAGGTGACCAAAGAAAGGGCTTGGCCTTTAGATGTTCAGAAATGTGTTATTTTTTGAGTAGGGTTGCCACCGTTTTTATAAATTACAATATCTTCGTTCGTTGGACTAAAAATTAGGTACCAAGTGAAAGGATATGGTCTGCGGATGTGTAGTAAGCTTTTATTTATTTTTAGTGGGGCTGAAACATATTTTAAAATTGCTACCTTACATATATGTACATACATATGGGCATTCCCATGGTGGCGCACGTGACAGT